CCATGGCCGTCAGCCCCGCTGGGGACAGGGGCGCAGGCTCCGAGGACATGGGGGAGGTCTCTCACCTTCTCTGCGATCTGCCGCACCGAGTCCAGCTTGATGACCTTGGAGGACGCCCCGTCTCGGGACACGCTGGCTGCAGGACACGGGGACGTGGTGTGAGAGGGACGGGGGAATGTGGCACCCCCGGCACCCCCAGGTTGGGTCTGGCCATGCCCAGCCCCAGGGCTGTGTCCCTCAGCATGAGGGAACATCTGGGCCCGGCTGGTGTCGTGATGCATGGGGAGAGGGTGAGGCCAGGGAGGTGCTGGGGTGTCACGGGGAGCAGGCAGTGAGGCAAGGCTGGGACAGGGCTCCCCCAAATCCTGAACGCTGAGGGTCCAATTGCCAGGCACACTTTCCCTGCAGCCTGGGGGGCACTTACGGGCGATCTCAAACAGCTGGGGCAGCTCCGTGCTCAGCTTCTGCATGGCGATGTCTGCGATGGGGCCCAGGATCACCACCGGCCGCTTGAAGCTGGCTGAGGGGGCAAGATGGGGAGGCTGGAGTGGAAGGCAGAGCTCGCAGCACCCAGGGGTCCAGCCCTGCTCCCTGAGGTGCTGTGGGCCTGGGCCTCACCCCACTCCTCCCAGGAGAGCTGAGCCCACCAGGACCCACAGCAGAGCAGCCCCAGGACTGGTATCTCCTGGGTGGCTCCGGGTGATGGGGACACAGCCCTGGTGCCCACCTTCCTTCAGGATCACCCTCTCATACGGCGGGTAGCAGCCCTGCTTTGTGAGGGCAGACAGGTCCTCCCGGCTCTTCCGCAGCATCTTCTTGGCTCCCCGCAGGCCCCGCAGCTTCCAAAATTCAGCCCGTGTCCCAGAGGGGTTGGCACCAGACGTGGCTTTCAGCACTGACTCCAGGCTGGCGATCTGCTCGGCCCTGGGAGGGGACAGGGCTCAGGACCTGCAGCCTGTGGATTCACCTCCCGCTTTGTCTCTGGGGGCTCCACAGAGTGGGGCAGGAGGAGCCAGTGTCCTCGCCGAGTGGCACAGCCAGATGAGGCCATGGTAGCCTCTTCCCTCTGGCACCTTGGATAACCTGAGCACCAGCTGTCCCTGAGAAGGGATTTCACTGGCTCGTCCTTCCCTGTGCTGTTCCACCAGCCCTTGCCCTGCCTCTCTCCTACTGGGCCCACCATCCATGTCCCTGTCTCCCTGAGGAGCCCTCCCCTGGCTCTGCTCCTCGTGGGGCCATTCCTGGCTCCATCCCTACCTGCTCTGGTTGGGGATGATGCCCTTGTCCTGCTTTTGCAGGTCCCTGCCCATGCGCACGGCCAGCCAGCTGCCCAGCCTGCCCCGGTACATGGTGTCCAGCACGTGGAACACTTCCCCGCGGGTGAAGCTGAGTCCTGCCGGCGTGTCCTTCTCAAAGTCAAAGTGTGTCCGGATGTAGAACGAGTCCCCCGCGTTGGACGAGATCATCTTCCTGTAAGCTAGAGCCCAGGGCGAGAGGGACCATCAGGGGAAGAGGTGGCTGAGGAGGAAGGTGCTGGAGGGAATTGGGAAGGAGCTGAGATCCTCCGCCGGAGCCCTCGCTGCTAAGGAGGGCACTGGGGACACCTTTTCCTACCAAGGGGCTCTCAGGCACGCTGGGAACAGCATTTGGGAAGGAGCTGGGCTGCCTGAGATCCTCCGCCGGAGCCCTTGCTGCTAAGGAGGCACTGGGGACACCTTTTCCTACCACGGGGCTCTCAGGCACGCTGGGAACAGCAGGACCTGGCCCTCCAGCACACACTGGCTCTGCAGGCTACGCCACGGTGCCAGAAAGCCCCAGTGCTCCAGGACACTGAGGCACAAACAGGGCTGGAATGGCCTGGCCCACTCCCATCCCCTCTCTGGAGGTGGAGGTTGCAGGGGAGAAGGACCACCCTGTGGTGGCAGAAAGGGCTGTGGCAAGTCCAGCAGCGCTGATGCTTGCTCAGAAGAGACAGAGGATGGAGGGGACACGAGCCCAGTTGAGTCCAGTCACCACTCACTGTCCTGCTTGCTCTGGGTCCACAGCGTGATGTCTGTGCCTGGCGACAGGCTCATGAGATGCTCCACGGCCTCCTCACGGGTCAGGTTCTGGAAACTGGTGTTGTTCACCTAACACAGAAAGCCACTTAGACCACGACCCGCCGGTGGGATGGAGGGCACGAGCACCAGCAGGGATCCCAGGGGGTGGCAGTGCCCAGGGCAGGGTGGGAAATGTAACTGGTCCCTGTCACCCAAGTGTCCACTACCACCCCTACAAACCCTGGGGAGGGCCTCTGGGCCAGCTGAGGCAGTGCCCAGACCCCACTGGGTGCTGCCAAAGACGGGACCAGAGGGGTACAGGCCACGGACACCAGCACTGACCCAAAAAGATGCCCAGCAGGAGCAAGCCAAACCCCGGGGGGACATCAGGCCCGAGAGGGATGGGGCCAGCGCGGGCGCAGGAGCGTTCGGGGCCGTGCCCGGGTACCTGCAGGATCTGGTCCCCCTCCCGCAGGCCCTGGCTGGCAGCTGGGCTGCCCTCCTGCACGCTCGACACGAAGATGCCCACGTCGTTGCCGCCGGCCAGCCGCAGCCCCACGCTCTGGGCTTTCACAAAGTGCACCACCCTGGAGTCCGTGCCGTACCTGCCACGGGGGAACCCGCCGTCAGCCTGCCGGTGACGTGCTGGGGACAGCACGGGGGTCACCACCCCTCTGACA